CTCAAGTATTGACTTCAATAATTATTTTGATTGATCGTAATAAATGAGCACTAGTACGATCACTCATTAATCACATTAAAATTGATGCTTGAGAAGATTTCAATTACGTCATAAATTGCGTATTCAAATTTTCGGCAAAAATTTATTGTAAATATAATTATGCTTGAGCACTATTACGATCACTTGCTAATCACATTGAAATTGACGCTTGAGAACGACCTTAATTTAAATTTTAAAATATGTATTTAGCTTTTCAGTTAAAATAAGTAAAAATCTTTATCATGCTAATATGATTGCTCCTTTAATTATTATTGCCATTATTTCTATATTTGTGTTTTATCAATTATGTTATAACTAAATTTCAATTAAGCAATAAGTTATTACAATTTGTAAATTTGTTTTTTTTTTGATATAACGCCTAAAGTAAAAACTTTCTTTCTTACGCAAAGTATGAATTCGCAGTTAGCATAATATACAGTATCATTCATATACAGTGTTGGCAATTTTATCAGCAAACAAAATTTTGGCCGGCCAAAACACGTCAATTCGGCCAAATTTATACAGTAAATATATTTATTGGGTTAGCCAATAGCCAAAACGGCCAAACATTTTGTTTGGGATAACGATAAATTGAAATCATGCTCCATATAGGGGTGTGTTACATAAATTACAATGTCATGTGTTCAAAATTACAATTTCAATTTACCGAATCTTACACACTTACGTAAAAATTACGTAAAATTACTGTAATTTAACAACCCTAGCTCCATACTTGAATGTAATCTCTTATGATATCACTACTTACAATTTAGTTCATAAATATAAAGATAGAATTCAGGGTCTAAGAGATTTACATACTTATCCAAATCATTCTATCATAGAATTTGGATCATAATTACGATTTGTTTAAACTTTACAGTCAGAATTTTCTCCTTTCGCTTTGAATAATTTCGTATCAATTTTGTTTATAAATATAAGCACCTACAATATTCTTAGGGTATTCCAATCCATGTAACTAGTGCACGCTTCTCCATATCGACATTGACGTTATAATTATAATTACAATTTCTATGTTTCCGAATTAAATTATAAACTGAGTTAAATGGCTTTATAAATTGTTTCTATATTGCCTACAGAATATTTTAAAATTTTTCTAATCGTTTAACCGTTTAATCGTGTTAATCACTTAATTTAATCAGCATTAAAATAATTATAGTCTATGACTAGTAACAATTTTTAACGGTTAAACGGTAACTAGTAATCAGAAAAAGATTGATTTAGAAAGTAGACCTGACCGGAATTAACACATGAAAGTTCTAATTTTAGAGGCTTAATTTCAGTCAAGTGTTACTTCAGATATCTAAAGCGCTACTTCAGATCGGTAGCTATTCAAGATGTAACGGGATTACCAAGTATGACAGTGTTAAAAATCACTACAAAATTTAATTACGACATGCGTACGTATTGTATGTATTGATATGATCTAATAAATTAATTTATTAAAGGTGATCTGACGTAGAGTTAAATGATAGACATTCATCGTAATCTAATTCAAAATGGATAAATTTAAGTTCTTTTTGAAGAACTTTATTCATGAATAGTCAGTAGATTAGGCATTTCTCAAAGTTTTTTTTAATAAAAATGGTTGATCAAAGACCTATTATTCTTTGGGCCCATGCGAGGTCTCTTTCTACAGTCTTTGAAAGACCATTTCTTCAACGTCCTCAAGAGTTCCATGTTATCCATGAACCATTTGTTCCAATCGGTCATGCGTACATGACCAATAACCAAGAATTTTTAAATAAAATTCCAATACCAAAACCTACTGATCCGATTACTTTTGTACACCACTTTTCACCTGTTCTTAATGAAATTCTTGCTCCTCATTATTATAATGAAGACAAAACACACATCTTAAGGGTTTTTGTGAAAGATCTTGCAACCATCTTTTTACACGCATCAGAAGGAAATCCGTTACAATCCAAGGAAATTCTCACAAAATTTAAACATACTTTCTTAATTAGAAACCCAGAAAAATCAGTAAAATCTTATTATAAAGCTGCAATTGCTACATATAACGCTTGGGACAAGGCCGGCTTGCCTAATTGTGAAATAGTTGAACTTTTTTCCTCAAACAAAATTGGGCTCAAAGAATCGCGGATCCTTTATGATTTAATTAAGAATGCAACCGAAGAAGCGATTGCATTGGTGGATGCTGATGATTTAGTTCGAGAACCCGAAAAAATTTTGAGAAAATATTGTGAGATGGTCAATATAGAATTCACAAAAGAAATGCTTGAATGGAAATCAGAACGAGTAGAAATATGGGATACAAAAATGTCAGGCCTATATCACGTTCAAGATTTAAATTATTTGTGGCATAAGTATGTTTATCATTTTACGGAATTTTTTTATTCATGTATTAACTATATATATCATAAATAAAATAGGAATGCGATGCAAAGCACAGGATTCGACAAAACAATCAGTAATGATGAAGAAATTGAATATCCACTATATGTTTACGATATAATTACAGAAAACAAACCTCATTATCAATACTTGTTTCAACATAGAATTAAAATTTAGAATAATCCTGTACGATGAGTGATGTTTATATGCATAAGCAATAAATTGCAAATTCTAGATGTAAATTTGGTATCATTTTAAATATTAGTTTTGTATTAGGACGGTTTTCTTACAATATTTTCGGGTAAAAGTTTACATTAAATAAAGATTATAATTGTTATTGTGGCTTTCTTCCGATTAACTAATGTTCCTAAATTGTCATTTCGATAACATAATCCAATTTATTATTTTCCACTGCGATAACCATTTTCAGCCGAATTCAAATACCATTAAAATGGTTTCTTTTCATTCCTCAAATGCTTTTTTTTGTATCTTTATCAGTGCAAATGACATTGTAATAACAGTTTTCAAGATTATTTTGACCCTGAGCATTGCCTTCTTTAAAAGATTTCAAATACTATTCCAATGTCTTTCTTTCATATTTGACTGTGCCTATGCCTTTTGATAGCAGAATCCAAGATTATTTTGGCTTTGAAAATTGTCACTTTTAGCAGATTTTAAATACAACTCAAATGCCTTTTTCATCCTTAATAGTGCCTCTGCCATTTAAATAACAGAATCCAAGTTTATTTTGTGCATAGAAATTGCCACCTTCAGCAGATTTTAAACACCATCATTTTCATAGTAGTGTTCAATAATAGATTGTCCATTGAGATTACCACCTTCTGCAGATTTTAAATACCATTTGAATGACTTTTTTTCATCCTTAATTGTGCCTACATCTTTTGTATAACACAATACAAGTCTATTTTGTCTTTTAGGATTATCGCCTTCAGCAGATTTCAAATACCATTCAAATACTTTTTTTCCATCTTTTTTGGTATCTCAGCCAAATTCATAACAGAATCCAAGACCATATTGTCCTTGAGCATTACCACTTTCAGCAAATTTTAAATTTGATTTAAACCAATGAATTGTCTCAACTATAAATATAAGTAAAATACGTACTAATAACAATTCAAAACATAATATTAGTAAAAAAATCAAAAAATATAAAAAAATTCTAATATTTTCAATAATGATATAATCGAATTAAAATTTTCGATCCTCAATATCAATATGATAAACTTCATCACTTGATAACAATTTTACACTTATAGAAATTGTTTTAGTCTATAAAATTTTTTTCTGTTCGTATGAACGTACGTACAGTACGTTGAAATCGACGCAGGTCGAATCTAGCCAAAATTAGTTAGTATGGTGCATTATATCGTATTTATCGTATTTAGTCATTTAGTGAATATATTTATTGTGTCCAGTACAACTAATAGTGCGAAGGTATAAAAGCACTACCTTTTCGCTTCAATAAAGACGGCAGGAAGCTCTGACAACTAACTCTCAGTGTTCGAAACCTTAGTACCTTAGTAGAAGTGTTTGGCTCTACTGATCCCCCCGATAAGTAAAATCTGTATTAACGATATGAATTAGTGACCAGATCCCGTGACTTCGTATTAAGAGACTTGTGACGTAGTCTAGAGCTCTAATTGACCCTAGTTACTCGGACCAAGGGTGTTCTCAAGCATCTCACTCAATGGATCGGAGGCAAATTTTTAATAGTCGGAAATTGAATAAATTAACCAAGTGAGCTGCCATTGCGATAAACGGATCAGCGAGCTACAAACCATCTTTTTTCTTCAAAAATTTACTATTGATGAAGGTCGCTTAAGCATTACTTTTAATTTTTTACATATCAAACATAATAATCAATGAATTCTCAACAAATTTCTAATCGATATGAAAAAATAGCCACTTTATTTTTAATTTTCGAAGCTTTTAAAACAAATAATCGATACCTTGATATGAATGTAAAATAAATAATCGATACCTTGATATGAATGTAAAATAAATACATCATCTTTTGACATTTATCAAACCATAATGAATTCTGCGATTCCATTTTTCGTTCAATAAAATTTTTTTATTTGTTGTTGTAAAGCAACTTTCGCTAATGATTGATTCTGTTGCTGTTGCACTAAAAGTTTGAATTGGTAAAATCATTAAAAAAAGAAGCCGACGCGGCCGTTAAAGTTTCGGCAACCAATTGAGTAGAAATTTTTTTTAAGGTGTTTTAAGTGGCATAACGCAGATCACGAAAAATAGAAAAGGAGTATGCTCAAGCATTTAATTCTATAAATATCGACATTGATCGTGATGCTTGAGCGTCATCATGTTCATTACTTAATTAATTGATTGAGATGCTTGAGAACACACCAAGTCTTTCCACGCCTCGATCGAGGTCTTACCATTATTAGGGTTTAGTCAGAGTAGTTTAGTTTGTATTGGTATAGTGTTGTAATGATTTTTGTATTACAGCCTTTCACAACGTACGTACTGTACGTACGTACGTGCGTACATAAATTTATAAATACTGTATGTGGCAATTTTATTTATAGCCTGGCCCCTTTAAATCATTCTATAATGACCAAACTTTTAGCAACATGTATTTAAAGAACAATAAAAAATATATATTTCAGGAGTCAAGTATATATTCGGCTAGGATTTGGTGCATTTAGACGATGCACACTTAAAGGGCGCCTCAATCAACCTATTTGGATCGTTTTTATATTCATGTTGATAGTGATATTAATGAGGGAACATATTAAAGTTGATATAGGTGAATGCTTGAGAACACCCAAAGTCTTTCGGTAAGAATGTTTTTAACATCAATAACTAAAGCATTATTTGCAGAGTTTTAATGTCAACTAAAGCGAAAATTTTATTATGAAATTCAAAATTATTTTAGGGGTTTGTTATGATTTAGGTTTAAAATTGTTAATAAAAGAGTATATGGGTATACAGTCTACCCTCGTTATAACGGATTTTTTATAGCGGATCCCTCACTATAGCGGGGAAATCTTCTAAAATTTTTAAGAACAATATAAAATAATATATAACGTTATAGCGGATATTTCATTATAACGGATTTATAATAGATGAAATTTTCCAGCCGATCACTACGTTATAACATTATAACATTGTAGATTCAAATGAGAACCCAAAATTTCAGCATAGGATTCGACCTGGCTAGAATTA